CTGCAGTGTCCCACTGTCCAGAGATCTGTAGTGTCCCACTGTCCAGAGATCTGTAGTGTCCCGCTATCGGAGTGTTAAACGTGACAGCTGGAGTAAGTGAAATATGGCGGGAGCTCACCGTAGACTTTTATTTGCTCGGTAATGGCCTTAATTGCAATTTGGGTCTACCTGCCGGGTGACGGCGAGACATGTTAAACTCTCCTCGTCTCTTCTCTCTCTCCCTTGTTCATTATTCCTTCCTCCTTCCCGCCTTTTCTCCCCTTCCCTTCCATTCCCTTCCCTACAGGCCCCTATTCCCTCCTTTGGACGGTCGTGCGGGCAGCTTTACTGCCGTGTGGAATTACAAGAGGTCGTATCACGGCTCCCCTCTCAGTTGGAGCCACAGTCAGTTTATTCCAGTTTCGTGTACAAAACCCGCCTCCTTGGAGTATAATTATTGTCATTTGGACAAAGGCCAAGCATAGCTTGTCACTGGCTGAGAGTGCCAGGACCTTAGGCCTGGTTTCAGTTAATTGGATATAGGCCTAGAGAAGGGCGGAGATTTCTAAAGCAGGAGAACCTGAGAGGGAGGTGGAGCCAGGGCGCCATCTTGAAGGATAGGAGACAAAAATAGTGTTAGTGTGATCTTTGGAGGGAAAGAAGGAAGGAATTATCAACTAAAAGCGCCAAGCCATATCTTAGGAGGGCGTGTTACCATAGTGATACAATATCAGCAGTACTTGACGGTCAGGGATCGTTACAATGGTGACATTTTAGCCCTGTTACAGCTGCTTGTTGGTTCATGGAACCTGTGTCCCCGTCTCTGACCAGGTCTTCGGGTTGGTGGCCAGGTTAACCAGGCTGTTAGACGCCTCTGCTTTTAGTCTCACGTATAAATCACCACAACGAGAAAGCTTTTTCCCTCACAGGTCCTCCCTCACCCCCCCCCTCACCCCCCCCCTCTCACCACCACCCCTCACCACCCCCCTCACCACCTCCCCCCCTCTCACCACCCCCTCACCATCCCCTTTCTCACCATCACCATCACTTCCACTTCCTCCTGCCCAAATGCACCTTGATGCATCTTCCATGTTCCCGTGGCTCAGTGGCTTCGTTATCAGTTAGTTGTCGTCAAGCTGTGGAGGAGGACGGTGGTGAGGAAGACAAGAATACCTGTGTGGAGGAGGAAGACAAGAATACCTGTGTGGAGGAGGAAGTCAAGAATACCTGTGTGGAGGAGGAAGACAAGAATACCTGTGTGGAGGAGGAAGACAAGAATACCTGTGTGGAGGAGGAAGTCAAGAATACCTGTGTGGAGGAGGAAGACAAGAATACCTGTGTGGAGGAGGAAGTCAAGAATACCTGTGTGGAGGAGGAAGAGGAGGAGGAGGAGGAGGAGGAGGAGGAGGAGGAGGAGGAGGAGGAGAAGGAGAAGGAGGAGAAGGATAAGGAGGATAAGGATAAGGAGGAGGAGGAGGAGGAGGAGGAGGAGGAGGAGAAGGAGGAGAAGGAGGAGAAGGATAAGGAGGATAAGGATAAGGAGGAGGAGGAGGAGGAGGAGGAGGAGGAGGAGAAGGAGGAGGAGGAGGAGGAGAAGAAGAAGGAGGAGAAGGATAAGGAGGATAAGGAGGAGGAGGAGGAGGAGGAGGAGGAGGAGGAGAAGGAGAAGGAGGAGAAGGATAAGGAGGATAAGGATAAGGAGGAGGAGGAGGAGGAGGAGGAGGCCTTATCAGAAGCAGCAACAAAAGTCTCCCCCCGAGACTGGACAAGACACTCTACACCTCTAAGATGTCTCAGCAGGAAATAACTCAAATAATATTGTTCCCACATTCACCAAAGAAACCCATTACAAAACACGACATAATATTCTGAAGAAAAAATAAAATACTTCTAAAAATTAAACATTTAACCAGTTCCCGTCGTTATTAATTACACGATAATTACTCACAAGAGAATATTAATAACAGTGTCAGTAATTTCCCAGAGGACCCGCCGCCGCTCAGAGGAGCCGGACAGCCACTAATGTTAAGAATTGTTTTACGGTTTTAATAATTTATAAAAAGGAGCTAGCAAGCGAGCCTCTCGCCCCGGGCAGTGTCCGCTCCTCACAACACGGGCTGGGAATGTGTAGTGGAATTGTTATATTTATATTTATATATTTTAGCTGGTTGGTGTCGTTATAGTTCACAGGTAACTATGTGTTCATCACTTGTATGTTGGAGATATTTATTTGGTTATTAATGTCTTAAGAAACGGCAAATGTTATGTCTCACCCAGTGAGCCCAATAGACTCACACCTCATACTGTGGGGGCCCACTAGACTCTCACCTCATACTGTGGGGCCCACTAGACTCTCACCTCATACTGTGGGGCCCACTAGACTCACACCTCATACTGTGGGGGCCCACTAGACTCACACCTCACACTGTGGGGCCCACTAGACTCACACCTCATACTGTGGGGGCCCACTAGACTCACACCTCACACTGTGGGGCCTACTAGACTCACACCTCACACTGTGGGGGACAACTAGACTCACCTCACACTGTGGGGGACCACCAGACTCACACCTCACACTGTGGGACCACCAGACTCACACCTCATACTGTGGGAGCACCAGACTCACACCTCACACCGTGGGACCACCAGACTCACACCTCACACTGTGGGACCACCAGACTCACACCTCACACCGTGGGACCACCAGACTCACACCTCACACCGTAGGACCACCAGACTCACACCTCACACTGTGGGACCACCAGACTCACACCTCACACTGTGGGGCCACCAGACTAACACCTCACACTGTGGGGCCCACTAGACTCACACCTCACACTGTAGGACCACCAGACTCACACCTCACACCGTGGGACCACCAGACTCACACCTCACACTGTGGGACCACCAGACTCACACTGTGGGACCCACCAGACTCACACCTCACACCGTGGGACCACCAGACTCACACCGTGGGACCACCAGACTCACACCTCACACCGTGGGACCACCAAACTCACACCTCACACCGTGGGACCACCAGACTCACACCTCACACCGTGGGACCACCAGACTCACACTGTGGGATCCACCAGACTCACACCTCACACCGTGGGACCACCAGACTCACACCTCACACCGTGGGACCACCAGACTCACACCTCACACCGTAGGACCACCAGACTCACACCTCACACTGTGGGACCACCAGACTCACACTGTGGGACCCACCAGACTCACACCTCACACCGTGGGACCACCAGACTCACACTGTGGGACCACCAGACTCACACCTCACACCGTGGGACCACCAGACTCACACCTCACACCGTGGGACCACCAAACTCACACCTCACACCGTGGGACCACCAGACTCACACCTCACACCGTGGGACCACCAGACTCACACTGTGGGACCCACCAGACTCACACCTCACACCGTGGGACCACCAGACTCACATCTCACACTGTGGGACTCACACCTCACACCGTGGGACCACCAGACTCACAACTCATTATAATACAAGAAGATCATATGTTCACAAGTATTTTAATTCGTGTACCTATTCCAGTTATATTTTACACTGGCAAAAAAATATTCTTCCAATATCAGTAAACAAACAATATTTGTTAACCCAAAAGTAAGTGAAATGTGGCGGGGGATGAGCGTAGAGTTGTGTTGGTTCTTGGACATAATGTAAACATCTGGTAATTAGCTGCTCCTGGAGCTGTACAGGCTACGGTGTGTGTACAGTAGCTCATTCTCTGCTAATTACAACTTTAGGTGAAGGGTCACGGTGAATAACACACTCTTCCTGCAAGATCTTCCTTGTCTCCCTTCTCCTGCTCCTCCCAACTCCCCAAGGTCAAGGGCCTCGTAGCCTTCTGGTATAATTTCGGCTGTAAAGTCATACTCGTTCCTCATGCGTAATACAGAGAAAAGTTTAATATTTGTATATAAATTTCCATTACTATGAATGGGGCTATGTGTTATTTTAGTTTTAATATAATGTGCATTTAAAAGCCAAACAAGAAGCCAAAGATTGAGGAAAGATGTGCAGGTTCGTAAGTGCTTGCGTAACTGCTTCGTGAATCCGGCCCCCCGTGGTGCCCTAGGGTGAGTCTGAGTGGCTCCTGAACACAGTCTGAACCACCAGGGTGAGGTGGAGCTTTCACACACTAATATATTTCTTACACCCCAACAGGGCTGTTCGGAGTTAGTTCGTCGGCAGTAGTTAGGTGACTGGAGAGAATTGGTGCGTCGATGAACGACTGGGACTGACTACTGACGGCCCCAGCGTCAGTGTGGAGTAAGATCACACCACACCATGCTTCAGTGATCACCTGGGGGCCAGAGTGTGGAGTAAGATCACCCACTCCATGCGTCAGTGATCACCTGGGGGCCAGGGTGTGGAGTAAGATCACCCACACCATGCTTCAGTCATCACCTGGGGGCCAGGGTGTGGAGTAAGATCACCCACACCATGCTTCAGTGATCACCTGGGGGCCAGAGTGTGGAGTAAGATCACCCACACCATGCTTCAGTGATCACCTGGGGGCCAGGGTGTGGAGTACGATCACCCACACCATGCGTCAGTCATCACCTGGGGGCCAGGGTGTGGAGTAAGATCACCCACACCATGCTTCAGTGATCACCTGGGGGCCAGAGTGTGGAGTAAGATCACCCACACCATGCTTCAGTGATCACCTGGGGGCCAGAGTGTGGAGTAAGATCACCCACACCATGCTTCAGTGATCACCTGGGGGCCAGAGTGTGGAGTAAGATCACCCACACCATGCTTCAGTGATCACCTGGGGGCCAGGAGTGTGGAGTAAGATCACCCATACTTACTTCGTGGTGGGTGTGGATGATTTCCTTCGTGTGTTATATAAAGTTATCGGGACTGTTATCATGACATACAATGTTACCGCGTCTCTCTTATAGTGTTATCGTGACTAGTATAATGATATCGGGACTTCGTATAATGTTGCAGACGATGAGTCACTATAATGTAGCCAAAATGTCCCCACCATGGCAGGACTCCACCAAGAGTCCCCACCATGGCAGGACTCCACCAAGAGTCCCCACCATGGCAGAAGGACTCCACCAAGAGTCCCCACCATGGCAGGAGGACTCCACCAAGAGTCCCCACCATGGCAGGACTCCACCAAGAGTCCCCACCATAGCAGGACTCCACCAAGAGTCCCCACCATGGCAGGAGGACTCCACCAAGAGTCCCCACCATGGCAGGACTCCACCAAGAGTCCCCACCATAGCAGGACTCCACCAAGAGTCCCCACCATGGCAGGAGGACTCCACCAAGAGTCCCCACCATGGCAGGACTCCACCAAGAGTCCCCACCATAGCAGGACTCCACCAAGAGTCCCCACCATGGCAGGACTCCACCAAGAGTCCCCACCATAGCAGGACTCCACCAAGAGTCCCCACCATGGCAGGAGGACTCCACCAAGAGTCCCCACCATAGCAGGACTCCACCAAGAGTCCCCACCATGGCAGGAGGACTCCACCAAGAGTCCCCACCATGGCAGGACTCCACCAAGAGTCCCCACCATGGCAGGAGGACTCCACCAAGAGTCCCCACCATGGCAGGACTCACCGTCACGTCACTACAGCTCGGAGAAAAAATATATTACCACCGCAGCGAATATTATTTTTGTCGCGAGCAAGAAGGTTCAAATGAGCAGATGTCAACCATGTCGAAATTTTGTATTTAGAATTTGATTAATTGTGGCATAAATTTGCAGGAAAGGCAACTTTTAATGTTCATATTTGGAAATTAATTGTTTACGAACTTTATTTAAATAAAATTTCTTCGAAAATTTTATGTTCAGAAATTCAAAGTTATCCTCATGATTAGAGGATACAGTGTCCCCTGAATACTGTATACTAGAGATGAGAGGTACAGTGTCATCTGCGGTAGTCAGAACCAGGCAACGGGAGTACAGTGTAGTCAGTACCAACCTATAGGACTACAGTGTCCCTATAGGACTACAGTGTACTATGGGTACACTGTTACCTGTGGTAGTCAGTACTATGGGTACACTGTTACCTGTGGTAGTCAGGGTACCGTGACTTTTATGCTCAGCTTTTCTGGTGATGATCCTGGTGACTGTGTGTAGTGATGATGGCCGCTGGTGGTGATCCTGGTGACTGTGTGTAGTGATGATGGCCGCTGGTGGTGATCCTGGTGACTGTGTGTAGTGATGATGGCCGCTGGTGGTGATCCTGGTGACTGTGTGTAGTGATGATGGCCGCTGGTGGTGATCCTGGTGACTGTCTGTAGTGATGATGGCCGCTGGTGGTGATCCTGGTGACTGGTGTAGTGATGATGGCCGCTGGTGGTGATCCTGGTGACTGGTGTAGTGATGATGGCCGCTGGTGATGATCCTGGTGACTGTGTGTAGTGATGATGGCCGCTGGTGGTGATCCTGGTGACTGTGTGTAGTGATGATGGCCGCTGGTGATGATCCTGGTGACTGTGTGTAGTGATGATGGCCGCTGGTGGTGATCCTGGTGACTGGTGTAGTGATGATGGCCGCTGGTGGTGATCCTGGTGACTGTGTGTAGTGATGATGGCCGCTGGTGGTGATCCTGGTGACTGGTGTAGTGATGATGGCCGCTGGTGATGATCGTGGATGTAGTGAACATGTGCCCTGGTCC